TTTTTTTTTTTTTTTTTTTTTTTTTTTTTTTTTTTTTTTTTTTTTTTTTTTTTTTTTTTGCGTTCCAGGATTTTAGCTCCTACTATGTACATATTCTTCGCCTCTGCCATTCCTGTCATTGCCTTCGGGGAGCAATTTAGTAGGGATACAGGTGTGTCTTTTCCTTTGCAATGAAGATAAGAAACAGTAGCCTTCTATTTTTCTTGTCTTTCATTTCTATATGCTGGAAATGGGGTTCTTATTTCAACCTTTTTTTCCTTCAAATCCTGATCCTGTTTAGGTGGAAGACTGAGCACAGTGGAATCATTAGCCTCAACCGCGATTTGTGGAATTATCCACTCGATATTTGGGGGACAGCCTTTGCTGATTTTAGGAGTGGCAGAACCAACAGTTATAATGTACACTTACTTGTACGGTTTCAGCAAAGGCCGGCCGGATTTAGGAGCCGAGCTCTTTTTAGCCTGGGCTGGATGGTGAGTGAATTAGTTTTCCACATACTATCGTCTTCTCTCCATGTCTGGGCGGAATTTTGGATTATTCTTACTTTCTTCGTATGATGTCTGTCGTAGGGTTTGCATTTGGTCGGGATTCTTCTTGATTCTCCTTGCAATCTTTAATGCTTGCGACATTATCACCAAATTTACAAGAGTTGCGGGGGAACTGTTTGGCATGCTTATTGCTGTTCTTTTCTTCCAAGAGGCAATAAAGGTATTATTGATTGGCATTTATTACAAAAGGAGTTGGAGAAGATACTAAATAGCCTAATCGCAGGGATTGATCAGCGAGTTCAAGGCTCCCAAATCAGAAAATCCAGAGCCATTGGACTTAAAATTTGAATGGTTGTATGCAAATGGGTTGCTTGCCATCATTTTTGCCAACGGGGTACTCTTTTCAGCCCTGAAAAGCAGACATGCGAGATCGTGGAAATATGGCACTGGTATAAAGTCGATTTAGAGACCTAACATCTGCAAAATATATAGTTAAATTCAAGAACGTTCTTACTTGTTTGATACCTCGGAATGCAGGCTGGTTTCGCAGTTTCATTGCAGAGTATGGGGTTCCACTTGTGATCGTGTTATGGACAGCATTATCTTATGGAGTCCCCAGCAAAGCTCCAGATGGAGTTCCGAGGAGACTCTTTTGTCCATTACCTTGGGAGCCGGCTTCAATGTACCATTGGACTGTAGCCAAGGTGAGGTTTCTTTTCTACATTAAACTTTATTCCCATTTCCCTCAGTTGTCAAGTATGAAAGGTCATAAACTTTTGGGTAATCATCGCTTTATTTTGTTCATAATTCAATTCATTTACTAATACCAACGAATGGAAATTAAAAATCCACTTGACATGCCCCATTCGCAGGACATGGGGAAGGTTCCAATGATTTACATCCTTGCTGCTGCTTTGCCAGCCCTGATGATAGCAGGCCTTTACTTTTTTGACCATAGTGTTGCATCACAAATGGCGCAGCAGAAAGAGTTTAATCTTCAAAAACCATCTGCATATCATTATGATGTCTTCTTGCTCGGGATTATGGTAAATATTTGCTACAACTTGATTTCCTTCGTATATGTGCTTATCCTTTTACCAAATCATGTTCTCTCGCCAGGATCATGAACTGATGTTTTTTCTTTTTTTTTTTGTTAGACTTTGATTTGTGGATTGCTGGGACTACCTCCTTCTAATGGTGTCCTCCCACAGTCCCCAATGCACACCAAGAGTCTCGCAGTGCTTAAACGGCAGGTGTGTAGGCATCACATGCCAACAAAGTTCACAAGTAGTATTCGATATTCAGATCTGCTGCTGTTGAGTGACAGTAAATGAGAAATCTCGTTTGATTTGATTCGAAAAATGATATATATTGATAGAAATATCTAAAGTGTTTCAAATATGAAAACTGAAAAACCTTTGAGATCACTTTACTCTCTCAAGACGATAGATTTCTTGTGTGTATCATACTCTCATCTCAAGACCCACCATTCTCTTGGAGCCTTACAGTTCTACCTCATTTGCAGATAATACGAAAAAAAATGGTAAAGAGTGCAAAGGAATGTATAAAACTAAAAGCAAGCAACTCTGAAGTTTATGGAAAGATGCAGGCTGCGTTCACTGAAATAGACGCATCTCCAACTGTAATGCTCTAACCTCGTAGTCTCCCTTTTTTCTAACTCCAAGATTTGGTTACCTCATGCACCTTGTTTGCTCTTATTGCAGCCTAAAGAGCTTGAGACCTTGACGAAGGCAGTAATGAGTGCTGATGACAGTGATCACAAGGGAAAATTCGACGCCGAGAAAAATATAGATCCTTATTTGCCTGTTTGTGTGAACGAACAAAGGATGAGCAACTTGCTGCAGTCCTTCCTTGTGGCCGCATCAATATTTGCTGTCCCTATAATGAGAATGATACCCACTTCAGTTCTTTGGGGATACTTTGCTTACATGGCCATTGATAGTCTCCCAGGGAATCAGTTCTGGGAAAGGTTGTTGTTACTGTTTATCACACCGAGTCGGCGTTTCAAGTAAGTTTACCTAACTTTAGTCCGCTTGTTCTATCGTTTAGAAGAATTATTAACCGCCATGCTTTATAGCTTATTTATTTGGATTCTCTACCATATACTTAATATTGTGTTTGTTCTTCGTGTCCTACAGGGTCTTGGAGGGGTCTCATTTATCATTCGTTGAAACCGTGCCATTCAAAATCATTGCGTCGTTTACTCTCCTTCAGTTAGCATATTTCTTGTTGTGCTTTGGGATAACGTGGATACCTGTAGCTGGGATCCTGTTCCCACTGCCATTTTTCCTCCTCATTAGCATAAGAGAGCATGTGCTCCCCAAATTCTTCCAGCATAACCATCTTCAAGAGCTAGATGCCTCAGAGTATGAGGAGATTGCCGGAGCTCCACATCGGAACCTCACAGTTACGGTTAGCTTTAACGTTTTTTACAATCATGGATCATTAATCAACCTTGAGTTTAAGTTCGGCTTGAAATGAAATGGCCATCGACAAACATATGAAGAAGATTTGGCTCAGCATATTTATTTCGATACGGGTAGGAAAAGAACCCAACTTAGTATTATTAAAAAAATAGAAAAATTAGAACTCAGTCAACCTTGTGCCAAAGATCTTACCATTTCCGAAACTGCAGTTACATCTCTTTTTTATTTCTATTCCAGAGTTTTTATGTGTTTCCACGCCCCTTTGAGACCCGAAAAAATGAACAACATGTTGAATTTTTGCTTCTAATGTCTGCCCAGGATAAGGAGATACGACCCGATTCAATTGCGGGCGAGAGTAACGAAGAATACTATGACGCCGAGATCTTAGATGAGATGACAACTCATAGAGGAGAACTAAAGCTTAGAACTGCAAGTTACAACGAAGAAAAGTTATTTCAGGTTAGAAACTAAAATCCCCTGCCTCTTATAACTACTTCTTACCGATCATTTCATCCTTTGACTTAGCCTTGGCTCACATCATTTGGCATTTGAATTTCAGGTTCATCCTGAAAGTTCAACTCGAACACAGTGAAGCATTTGGAGATTAATAGGATACGAGAGTGTTTGATCGAGCTCGATACAACAACGATTACGACGATCAATTACGATCAATACCAAAGAATATGGGGAAAGACATTTTCTTCTCATATAGTGGCTGCTAACTTGAGGAATACATGAAATTTTTACATAAACCCATTCGGGATTATAAGTACACATGAAAGAAAGGAAGATATTGGAGAAGATTCAATTCAAGGTTTTAAGACAAACATTTATTTACAATTGGAAAAGTTTCTAGAGAATCTCCCATCCTTTTAGTCAATTCATTTTATTTGATTATTGACAACAAAATAGTGAGGTGTGACAATGGTGGGGATTGGTTCATGAGATGCTTAAGAAAGAGAGAATGGTCTTTTTTTGACACTTCTATACTTGCTTTGCTGCGAGGAACTCGATGTGTGTAAATCTGATGTAACTTTTTTTTTTGTGATTATTTAGCCTTTCAAACTTCAAAAAATAATAATAGAATTCCAAACTTTATCAAGTCTTTAATAATTTTAAATATCAGTTGGCAATTTTAAATTTTAAGATTTTTTTTTTCAAATAGACCTGAAATGGATTGAGAAATGATTTTGGAAAGGGTTCAAAGATATGAAAAAGAGTCTTTCTTTCAAGGGTTAAAAAAAAGAGCATCATTCCTTGTTCTTTTGAGTTGGCCTCTCCGAGTTAGCTGAATCCAAATATGCATACACAAACACTAGTAAATCTGTTGAAAAAGACAAATGGAATTGAATTTCAACTCATAAGGAAAGAAGGTTCGATACGTTTAATAAAGTTATCTTTTTCGTTGAAATGGGATGGTGTTCAAACTCCGAAAATGCAATCTAGACAGTAAGCCTTCCCTTTTATGACTCGACTGACTCTAAAGGTCAATCCCCTCAAAGCATGATGTAAATCTATTCATTTGTCTTGACTGGACTGACTCTAAAGGTCAATCTCCTCAAAGCATGTTGTACATTCACACATTCGTCTTGACTAAATAGTCGAATCTATCTTTCAACTATTCTTTTCTCCGCTAAAGACCCCTTCTCAATAATGTAACCAATTATACTAGTTTAGTCGACTTGAAAAATAGTAAATATATATATATATATATATAGCGCGCTTTAATGTCACACCCGAGCTGGGCCAAGATTGTTTTTTGGGCCGGACATGATTGGGCTTCATTGGCCTTTAAATCAAGCTTATGAAGACGAACATTATCCTACCACTATTTAACAAGTATATGATTTTTTTTTTTTTTTAACGAAATAAAAATTTTCAAATATTTTTTAAAAATATCTTCCTCGTAAAAATAATAAAAATAATAAAAATTAATTAATCAAACATACTCAACTCTAAAAATATATATATATATTAATAACGAAAATAAATTCAAGATCAATATCGGAGGCAATTGAATAATAAAACATGGTATAATTTATTTAATGATATTAAATCAAATGTCGAAAAATTTTTACGATTTAAATTTTCATCTTATGGTTTTTTATTTATAATTCAAAGAAACAGCTATGTTATTGGAATGTAAATAAGAAACTAAATATTAGGACCACTGAATATAATTAAATTAAACTTTTTTTTTACTCTCTTCCAAAAGAATTCTCAGCCAGACTTGCTCCGAAGCAGTTGGTTCGGCCATAAATGGCTACACGTGCAATTGCCCTACGTCATTTTCCATATCCTTTTTAGTTGCTTTAAGTCATCGCCGCTGAGAGCCGTGGCCCGGTGGGCAGTGATCTTCTGGTCCGCCGCCGTCATTTCCGACCAAGTTCAATCTGGAAATGGATATTGCAAAGTTAGGTTGAAGATTGTGTCTTCGCTAATTTAGAAAATGGATATAAACTAATTTAGAAAATGATTTTGAGTTTTATAACGTCTACCAATCTCTAACACCAACGCAAATCAAGACCGAATCCACCTCATTGATCTTAACAAGAGGCCAAGGCTGATCTTAACAAGAGGTTGAGGTCAGGTTGGACCTCTAAAGAGGCATCATCTCGTAGTGTCCATGTTTGATTTTATTTCGTTCACTTTTAACCTAATTCGCCACTTTTTTTTTATCTAATTTAGAGCCGCTAGTAGCTTGAGATAGGAGAAAAACATTTAGATTAATAGTAATAACTACTCTAATGTCACTTAACTATAGTTCTTAAAAAAATAACACGACAGTGTTAGGGAAATGCATCTTTCTTACACGTGTCGACGCTAAGGCTAAAATTTTGTTAGTCTTTATCTTCGAAATAGGCATATTTAAACACCTATCTAATTAGCTAGTATAATAAATAATAATTTAAAAAAATATCGAAACCAGGCAGTACTAAGCTTCTCGTCTAGGCACCAAGGTAAATATCATACCTAAAATGAGTTGTTGTCTGTCCTGTTATCTCTACCTAGCTATCTCACCTAATTCGGACACAGTAGCGCACTTGTCATGTTGATCGTGATGTGTTCATTCTACCAAACTAAAAGATAAAAAAAAACACATTTTTTTAATTTAACAAATATATATATATATATATAATAAAAATGAATAATTTTGATAATTTTAAAAATTTAATAAGATAAAAATGGAGGTAACGCTTTAATACGGTAATATACGATAGAGGATTTTACAAGTAGGCCTAACATCTTATCTTGAAACAACCTTAATTAATGCGACACGGACACGTGGGTAGTCGCATCACCGCTAGATCTAACCAACGAAATCACGTCGGTTAGCTTATAACTTGCAAGTCATAAAAAGGCCTTAATGGGCCCAACTCAGCCTGTTCAGATCTATCCCGAAAACGTCAAATGATTTTCGAGGCCCCCACCGACTTTGGGCCCATAGGCCCAATAGTTCCGCCCCTCACCTGACAGCCGCCATTATTGGGATCCCCGAACCTGCCCACCCTCTCCCCTCCTGTCATTGCCTTTAATAAATACTTTTTTATATTATTAAAAAATTAATAATATTGTTTTTCTGGGAGGAAAAATAAAAATATAAAAATATAAAAATAAAATAGTCGGTGGTGAGAGAAGGACATTTGTACTCGAAATTGAAATAAATAAATGCATGCATGTGTGGGGATACCAAATCCACACTAAAGGTACATTAGAATTAATTCTTTTTTATTTTAATTATATTTTATTTATTATAATAATTGTTAATTCATTTAGTTATTTAAAAAAATAAAATAAAAAAACAAAATGGGGTTGTAAACGATTTCTATTTTTTGTGATTTTTTCTCTTATATAATTAATATTAATATTTTAATATTGGTTATGAAGTCATCGAATTTGAACATTAATATCGACTCTGACTCAGTTTTTTCTGTGCGAAATTAGGATTTCGATTTTTATATGTTTTTTTCTGTCTAAATTCAAGTTTGAGTACTGCCATGGGTCGTCCATCGCTAACCATTCTATTAACTAAATTTTATATTTAATAAATTTATAAAATAAAAAAAGTTAATTAATTCAAATTTAGGGTTGGAGGAGTGTGACGTGGGAAGGTGAAACCCGACCCGGCTCACTTCGAGAAGGTAAATTGTGCAACTAAATGAAGAGGCCCACGTGTACTTGCAGAGAAGGCCCAGTAGGAAGCAGCCACGAACTTATGGTGCGCTCAGGCTCATGGGATTCTGTCACTTCTGGGCCCCACCACTCCTCGTGCTATGTTCCTTGGCTTTTCTTTAACCCCGGTTCAGATCTCACCCTCTTCATTTTCTCAGTTTTGAAATTCAGCTTAATACTAAGTTTTAATCATTTTTATACCCTCAAATATCGAATAAAGATTGTGAGCTTCGAAGGTGTAGTAAAAAAGTGACTAAAGTGTCTAATAAAGAGTTTACTTTATTCAAACACTCTAGAGAAAGGAGTTGAGTCTCGATTAAAGGGAGACTGTTCGAGAACTCCATAAGTCTAACGGGAGGCGATGAATACTATATTTATTAGTATGAGGGCTTTTGGGGAACTCCAAAACAAAGTCATGAGAGCTTAGGCTCAAAGTAAACAATATCATACCATTGTGGAGAGTCGTGGTTCCTAATAGTAATAATAGTCGACGTAAAACATAATTATACGTTATGACTATTTGCATAAATCATGACATTTTTTTATATGAAAACAAAATAGGATGAATGGTACAAAAGAAGGAGAGGATTACAAACAAATTAGCATTTTTTGTTTATGATTTTTGCTATATTTAGAAGGACGATAACTAGAGCTAAATTCATATCAATAACACTACCGATATCAAAATAAGAGTTAGTGTTCTTAGTTTTTTTTTACCTATATGAATTATTATCTATTATTTTTTGTCAGATTGATATCGAGGTGAATTATATCGGATATCGAATATCGTAAAATTGGTACAAAGCTTTTATATTTTATGAATGATGTTTGGTCATTTTTTGCCACATTTGTGTGAAAGATATTAGATGAATCATTTTAAAATAAATTAAATAATATTATCTTAATATATCAAACTTCTCACTCGTAAATAATAATATTTTATTTTCTAAAATCCGAACTTTTAAAATTTTAATTTAGATATTAATTTTTTTAAGAGGATAATTTAAATTTATCAAATTATGGTAAATGATCCTAAAAATACGTCATTTTTACCAAATATATAAAAACTTGCTTTTATTATTCCAATGTCATTTTAATTTGACTAATAATTCAAATATATATATATTTTAATTTATTAAACAAAAAATAAAATATAAATATATATAAAAAAAAATTAAAAGTCATATTGTATCTTCAAATATTCAACAATTTTAATTTTTAATTTGTAATTTTTTACTATTTAGCGAAACGAAAAGTGAAAACGACATATTCCTCAGATAATGCTCAATGGCAAATTCCGTAATTCTCCCCCAACCATAAGGGCTTCCTTGTATCCTTCCTTCCATATAGCCTCCCTCTCCTCCTCCCCTCCGCTCTCAGCCATCTCTCCTCCCTATCTCTCTCCCAACAAACACATTCACAATGCAGACCGCCGCCGTCATCTTCTTCTCGGTGCTTCTCTCCGCCGCCGCCTTCCATCCCGCTCTCGCCCTCGTCGATGGTAAGCCCTTACTCTCCGAGCACTACACTCGCCAGAATATTGCATTACTTCTTCTTCGATTCACATCCCTCCCTTCCTTCTGGCCGATGAACCATCGGTTCTATTTATAAAATAATAATAAATAAATAAATAAATTCGAATTTACAATGTTTTTTTTTTGGAATAT